GAGGAATGCCAAAGCCAAATATCTAGTTTTTCTCTGTATTGTGAAACTTTGGTTGCCTCTGTAAGGATCCACTTAAATGAAGAACACTGAAAATAGATTGAAAAAGAAGACTGAAAACACATCTCTAACACAACCTGAAGGCAAGTAATGGAAGAATGAATGTGTAGAGGAATCAGGGTCTGAATCTTGGCCACAGTGCATAGTGCAGACAAGGATTTTATTTTCCCTTTTTCCCCCCAATTCCCTGTGAGAAGCCTGCTCTCAGGGCTGGCTTCCTGAGGAATGATTTATGGAGCGCAAACATGAACACCTCATATTTCTCAGAAGGGGACTGGAGTGTGTTCAAGATTTGGAGGAAAATGATAATTCCCTCTCTTCACATGTACTGTTTTTTCTGGTATAAAACTAATCCTTGTTTCCAGGCATGGTTTTTACATAAAAACAAAAGGCTTCACTGACGTGAGAGACAAGCCTGAACATTCATAGGATGAGTAACAACAAAACCAAGAAGGTTATGGGCAACTTTAATGTCGATCTTAAGTTTTTTGTCTTTCTCTTCCTTTCTGTATCTTTTACACCATTAGAAATACCAATTAATTTTTCTGCCTGAACGAGTTATTCTTCCCAACATTTGAAAAGTTATGAATGAAGGAAAATACTGTTTTCCTAGTCCCTCTGCAAAACATCAACTTGCCAGGTCAGAGCTCTCATGCTGACAGTACACTGGGAATAGAGTTGGCTAAACTTTAATTTCCCTGGTGCTGGGGGTCACAGAAATGAGCCAAGCTGTTCTGGGTATAGCATGTACAGGTGTGAATAGAGCTAAATACTGGATCGTACAGTAGGATTTTCTTCTCTTGATGTTTGAAATAGGTGCAGCTCAAATTCCAGGAGCCCCAAAAGGAACAGGGAATAATTCTCCCCAGAGACATCTTTCCTTTGAAAAATGTCCTTGAACAAATGGCTTTTGGGAAAGTGATGCCACAGTAAACATCCCCCACTGTGTTTGCTGAGTCTCTGCTTGTACGGCCAACAACCACCAACACATCTGTCTCCTTCTGTCAACAGCACTTACACAAGCTTTTCTTTGTTAGAAAAAAGAGCTAACATTGTGTTTATTCTCATCATTAACATGTAAGTTCCTGATACAGGTGAACTGTGGTGGAGCTACATCATACTAAGTCCCTCATTAACTTCTACTAGGCAGAACTGGATTTCAGGTCCTGCCTTGGTTCTCAGTTCCCAGCAAGATGCAGGGAATGTTACCAGAACCTCTGAAAATTAAGATACAGTGAACTTCTGCCACTTTATTTTTGAACAGCTTCATATACAGGCAAATTACAATTAAAGGCATGAACAGTTCATACATTAACTCAGGCCTGTTATGCTCCCTCTCCCCTCCACACATTGTGGTATGGTTGTAGTTATTTAGGAGCAAGAATGGCAGGTAATATTTGTTTGAAGTAAGAACATTCACATAGGGAATTGATCAAGAATGGATAACAGAAGTGTAAATTTGTTTTCTTTCCATCCCCTGCAATTGCAATGAGTCTAATGACTGCAGAACTCACACCATGTCTGGGACAAACCATTGTTAGCAGTGGCTTTGCAACGTGAAGGGATGGTTCCCTCCATTCAGCGTGATCCTGGGTGAGTTCAGGTTTCTTTGCAAGAGTGTGGACTAAACCCATGAAAACAGCAGTCCTGAACAAAAAGCAGATGAGCTGCCTTCCCTGATGGCACTTTCAAGCCAACAAAACATGCTGCGGGTGACGCCTGTTGTTATGTTCACTTTCTCAAACCCCTGCCACAGCTGGGCATCTGTCAAGATCACCTAGGAGTGTTCTCAAGTACGGCAAGTCAGAGCATGAGTGCCTACCCATGCAAGAGGTTTTCCCCATTTCTCTACCCATCCTATGGATAACAAACTTATCTGTAGGGCCCATAGGTGTGCCTAGCTCTTCACAGGAATTTAGAGATTGGCAAGTTAATGCTTGCCAATCTCATTGCGGCAAAGTAAGTTAATTAACATATGTTTGTAAAACACTGATGATAAGCCACCCACAGACATGTGCCACATATTCCTAGTGTCTGTTTAGACCCCCCCTCGAAAAAAACAAACCCAACAAGCCCCCACTCTAATCTGCTGATTGAAAAGCTGCTACGTGCAGACTTTTTTTTTTTTGCCAGGGCCAGTTCAGCTGAACACAATACACATAGTTATCTATGAAAAGGACTATTAAACACTCAAATGGCTGTTAAACATGAAACCAGCTTTGGGCTGGGAGGGGCACAGTTCATCCAGTCACTAAAAAAAAAAATCTACAAAGGAATTAATTACTTATAGGTGCCAGGCACAGCTATTGAAAGGAACAAACTTTCCCAGTTCTTGCATGGTCTATAGCAGCATTTGTAGCAGTGCAAAGAGGATGTGAAGTCAGTCACACTAAATTAAAGTGTGTGGATTTTACAGCATCTGGGACTTCTAAATGACTGATCACACCAGTCACTGAGCAGGATTAGGGGGTGTGGATGATTTCTTGGAGCAGGTTGCTGAGGAGATCACCCACCAGATTAATGCCTCTCTGGAAAGTGTTCTGTGCTTCCCAGCAGATTTGGTTTCAACAAGTCTGCAAAAGTTGTACATATAATGTGTGCTGGCAGTGGGGGCAGCAGGTAGAGGAGGAAATTACTGCTGAACTAGAAAGCAGAAAAACCAGAAAGCAGCAAAACTAAGCACAGGAATGAAGTTTCTTACACTGTTCTTCCGTTTCCCCGGGGGGATATCAGCTTTGAAGGGGATATTTTCCTGGGTGGTCTTCCCTAGAAACTTCACCCACATCCGGGGTGGGTGATGAAAAGCCTCGTCATTGCCTCCACCTATTCAATGCAAACTCTTGTAGCATCATGGTTTGTTTTCTTGCCAGAGGTGTCCTGTCACCACTAACAGTCACTTCCAGACAAAGATAAATAGGAGGAGCAGCCACATATTATCTGGACTCTGTCTACTGGTAGTCCTGGCTGGATGGTGTTGAGACCACAAAAAATAAACCCAAAAAACACCACCCCATAAAAGAATGCACTGCCCTATGTTTAACTAGGAATTACTGCACACACAGGAGAGGTGGCTGTAACAGCACCACGACCTGCCTTACTCTGAACCAGGGAATGAGACTGGGACAAGACAAAGCAAGCCACACTTGAGAATTCCAATTTGGAGTTCCAAGCCACACCAGAGAACTCCAATTTGGAGAGGATGGAGGGGTGTATGCAGGGGTTTAACCCCATCCCAGGCATCACTTTTGGTACGGTGTAAGATGACTGGCAACAAGTCTCAGGGAAACCCTTGCCTGGTGGACACCAACAAGCTAGATGGCCGACGTGCTCCTCCTGCTTTGGAGGAGGGAAGCATTGCCTTCCACCCCACACTCCCCCAGATGCCCCCGGCCCAGGTGAGAAGATGGGCAGGGTGGTCCATCGAGGGCCAGGCCATACCTTCTGCGCCTGCTGGATCATCTCTCGCACCACCTCCTTCAGGTGGGGCGCGTTCTCCTCCTTGCGGGGGTGCGTGAAGAGGGACACGCGACTGATGCCCCGGTAGAAGGTCTTGT